CGATTTTATTTTTATAGCTGTCCCACAACATTTGATGGCTCCCTGGTACACTGGGTTAACTGGCAGAGAAAAATAGGACCCCAGTCACTGTTATTTAAAACAGAGTGGAAGAAATTTATTTCCCAACCCCCAAGAATTAGTGCTTATTACTTAAAAAAAATGATGATTGTCAAAATTCTTCATTATTGGCTCCGTGTGAAGTTTGACAGGGAGCTGATGTCTGACATCAGTGACCAATTTTCAGCAGTTTGGAAAAGTCTCACCCCAAACTCCTTTGAAGTCCTCACAGTGCTTCCCAGGTAACTCGGAGAAGCTGGTCCCTCTCCAGCTGGCAGTGAGAGAAATCCTTTTCATGAGAAATCCTCTTCCACCTGACCTGAGGGCACAGATGTTCTTGGGGATTAGGAATCTTCCTCTCACCTGGTTTTGGGGATCTCAGCAGGTATTTTTCTCTCTCATGAGGAGGGACTCTGACAACAGCAGATGGGAACTGGATTACCCACACACTCCTTCCTCACCGTGAAATGGCCCCTTTGGCCACAGGACATCCTGGGATCAGTAGGCACCAGTGCCTTCTGCTCCAGGCTCTGTTCCTGATGAACTGCCCAGGCCCTGGCTCCTCCTTTGGCCAGTCTGGCTGCTTTTCTGGACTGTTCTGCTGTTGTCACTTCTTTGATGTCCCACCTGCTGTCTAGGACTGCACTCATGCATCCTGCTGGACTCTGTTCTCCGCACTGCTGGAAGACCTCAGTTGCTGCTCTCCAGGTATCAGCCAGCCTGGGAAAGGGCCATGTGGGAAGGGAGCCTCAAACCAGGCAAGGTTTTGCTTGTAGACATGGGGTGGCTGCTCCCAGCATGGCTTAACTCTGCCTTACCTGCTTTCCCCAAACACGGGGAGGTCGGGTGCTGGTGAGCATCCCCTGTGCCGTGCTGGGTGAGGGATGAGCTGCTGGAAGCACAGCTGAAGGAGGAGCAGGATGGGCTCTGCCTTGGCTGCTGAGTGGCCCTTAGGGATGCAGCTCCCCAGAAGAGCCAAGGCTGGAGAGTGGCTGTGTTTAACTGGTGTTGAGTGGTCTCGGTGTGGAGTGAAACTGGAGCCCTGGAGAAACAGGGCTGGAGTCCTCTGGCACTGTAGGAGCAGATGGAGAAGCTGTCAGCTCCAAAGAATCCCCTTTTCCTCCTTCTCTACTTCTGCCTATCCATGTTTAGGAAGTGTAATCAGAGTAAAAGCTGCTTGGGGAAGCCACAGAGATGTAACTAGGCCTGGTTTGCTCACCCCAGGCTCAGGAGCACAGTGACTGGGGGCTGTGAGGGTTCTCCGGGGATGGTGCAAGGGCCACCTTCCAAGGCTGTCTGGCTTGTCCTGCCATGCTGACTGGGCACAGGACCCGGCAGAGTTGCTTCCCCGTTCACACCTGGGGTGTCTGACTTGCTGTGAGGTAGCTATGATGATTTCGGCCTGGAAAATCATCGTAGTTGTTTGCAAGCTGGGCCCGGTGCCGGTTCTCACGTCTGCGATAGCTTCACTGTGTTTGGAGGGTTTTGAAACAGAGAATGTTGGTCTCTAGGGCCTGAACCAGTGGATGTACAGGAATGTGTGAGATGGACCCAGACAACCAGGCTGTGTTTGACTTGTGGGGGTATTTTCCTCCTCCCAAATGCTGCAGCCAGAGGTGTGAGATGCCTGTGCCAGTGTCTCGGGTGCTGTGTGCAGCCGTGCTCTGCATCCCCTGGCACAGAGTCCCAGCACCCTACTGGTGCTGATTTCTGCTTTAATGTCTCCTCCACAGCTCCTCTTAAAAATCAGTTTATGCCTCCTGCAAATTAAGCTACTGTTTCACTTATAAAGCGTTTCATTGCCCTGATAAGTGGAAGTGGGAAGCTGTCGCATCACTGAGGACGTGGCTGCAAACCCCAGCACAGCAGCTCGTTAATGTGAAATTAGAGAGGGCTCAGCAATATCTCAGCAGATTGCCTCTGCTGCTTCATAAGAGACACCGAGCGCCTCTGGGAGCCAGCTGTTGTGACAGGCCTGCTGAAGGGCTGACCAGCCATTCCTTGAGCAAGGAAGGGCCTGAGGGCTGTTCCATGTCCTTGGGGAAAGGAGGCAGTCCTTACCTTGCCCTAAGCCACCAGAGGAAAAGCAGAGGCTAAAACTCAAAGGAGAGATGTGTGAGCTTGTGCTGTGTCTGCCCCAGTGCTGGTTGTGCTTCCAGCCAGATGAGTCCCAGTCAGTCTGGTTCAGGGGACTGGGATACACTGGGGAGTCTCTGGGGCAGTAATCCCCTCTGGAGAATTACTTTCTGGGCACAGATGGGAGTGTTTATGGAGCTGTCTGAGCTTTCAGGCATTATCTTCAATCCCACCACTCCCAATTCATTCAGACATGGGATTTTAGGAAGGCAGAGGTTCCTCCTGTTTGTTTTCCAAGTGCCATCATTGTTGGGCAATGCAAGATGGATTAAGATTTGCAGCCTTGCTGGAGGCTGACTCCCTGCCAAGAGCTGTGTCTCCTACCTATTGCAGAAATGTGGGGTGTCCCTGGCCATAGGGTTGTCCCCCATGCAGCTGGAGTGCTGGGGAAGGCTGGCTTGCTCCTTGGATTTTGTGTCCATCAATCTGTCTAATCCTCCTGCTGGTTTTTCTACAGTCTTCCAAATCGCTCTTTTGTCCCCAAACAATTCTGCTTTGCAAATGCCAAAGCAGGATCCCTGGGCCAGCATCGCTGCTCCTCTGCCCTCCCATCAGGTGGTGGGAGGAAAAGGAGAAGAGGGGATTCAAATTAACTCCACTCATCCTCTCCACTCCTCCCGCTGCCCCGTCCAGCCCCTCTCCTGTTGCCTTGGCATGGCTCAGGAGCAGATAACATCACCTGTGCCAGGTAACCCTGCCGTCCTTCTCCCCAGGTGTGTGTGTGCCTCAGCCCAGCCGCCTCCGGGAGAGCCGGCATTGTGCCTTTTCCCATAGCAGGGAAACAAGAGTTTGTCCCCTTCTGCCTCCCCTTCTCTGATCTCCCCTCGGCTGCTTCCCGCTGCCTCCCGCCAGCCCCCTTCGCTCTCGCCCGGCTCCTCTGACCTGCTTTGACGTGTTGCATTTCACGGCCCCCGGTAACGGAGAGCCGATGGGAGATAAGAGGGGTGACCGTGTTCCCGGCCCCCGCTGTGCCGCAGGGAGCCAGCCGGCGGATGCTCTGCCCTCTTCACAAACCCAGCGATTTTGGGAAGTGCCCTGGACCCCTCCCCGGCAGCGGTGGAGCCCATCGGAGGGAGAAGGTGGGAGACGAGGGGGATGGCAGTGCGGAGCAGCGCGTAAACAGCTTTAATTTCCCCAGCTGGGAGAGAGGAGCGAGGCTTAGCTCTGCCCTCCCCGTGTGTGAGCGGGAGGCACTACGTGCCGAGGGACCGTGTGGAGGTGCTGGCAGGGTCCCCCGTGGCCGTGGGGCCCCCTGGAGCATCGCCAGCCCCCCCTTTGTGTGCGAGGCTGTGCCGGTTGGCTCCGTGTGCCGGGATGAATGTCAGCGGAGCGGGAGGCAGCGAGCGGGGATGCTGCAAGCAAATTACCCCCCCAAAAAGCGCAGGCGGGGCGGTGGCTCTGCGGGTCACAAGCAGCTGGCGGGGGTGGCCGCCCGGGTGGCCGTGGGGCTGTGGGGTTGTGCTCCGCGGGGCGCACCAGGCTGCTCAGGCATTTAATTCCGAGCGAGAAGCTGAACATGAGCCTAGTGGAAAAAGAAGGAAGGGAAGGAGGGAGGGAAACGGGGCTGGGGCTGGGGAAGGGTTTTCGGCAGTGGATGGCCATCCCTTGTGGTGAGCAGGCTGCTTGCAGGGGATAGATCTAAGCAGGGAGACAGCAATGAATGAGGGGTTGTTTATTTTTTAACATGGCATCCACACCGGAGGGATAAAAGGACATGCAGGTAGCTTGGGGCTCTGCCAGCTGAGTTAGCACCAGTTTTCCTTGTTGCCTCTCTTGGCATGACTAGGAGTCGCCGTCAGACACCTCTTCCCTGGATATGCTTCACTGACTTCATCTGGCTCTGCTCCGTGGGGCTGGAGCGAGGTTTGGGTGTTTTTTTTTCTGAAGCCCTTGTTTTTCCTCCGCCCAGCTGGCGTCAGGCACTGAGGATGCAGAGTGCTCCTGACTTGGGGAGGGCTGGCAGGAGGATTTCCCTTTGGGTTCGCAGTGTCCCCGTGTCTGCTGTCTGCTGTGGAAAGGCTTTGTGCTGGAGCGTGGGGAGCAGAGCCTGCAGGTGATCTCTAACTGGATCAGTCTCGCTTGCTTTGAATGTCTGTCCCTCTCCTTGCACTCAGGTGTTCGGTGACAGGCTGAAAAATCATGGTAGGTAGGTGCTGCCGGAGGCTGAGGGTGCCTTCTGCTTTGGAAAACAGGGAGGGAGGAAACCTAGTGGACTCTGAATAGCCTCAGGAAGAGCAAACGGGGATTCTTCACAGGAGGAGCAGTCAAGGATCCTCTCTACCTGGTCGCCACACGCAGTAGGAACAGACCCTTTGGAAATTCATCTGAACAGCCGATTTCTTGGGGTTTCTCGTCACCTCTAATCAAACGGCATCCCCTCCCTCATCCGAGGGCCACCACAGCCACCCTGGCCACTGCTCCAGAGAGCAGCTTCCTCCCCTGCCCAGTGTCTCTCGCTGTGGGAGCTCACAGACCTGTGCCAGCACTCCCAAGGGATCCTTTCCAGCGGGCACTCTTCATTTTTCCCCCTCCTGCTTAACCGAGCTCTGCAGCGTCGCACTGAATACCTGTGGAGCCACCCGCCACTCGGAGCTGCCACCTGTGGCTGCCTCAGGGGGCCAGGACTTGGTATCCTCCGAATCCAAGGGATCACTGTGGAGCCGCTGCAGACTGTCCAAGGAATTCCTGGCTGAACTTCTGCCTTGTGCCGTGTCTCTGTGGCCGCGCTCCCTCGCGGTGCCGTGGGCTGACGGGGCACAGGGGTGTAGCATGCGCCAGGGCGCGGTGGGACACAGGGACACGGGCGGGTGTGTGCCCGGACGCCGCGGGAGCCATGGCTTCGTTCGGGAAGCTGACGGAGTACTTCAGCCTGAGGAAGTCGAGGCCGGAGCTGCGCTCCCGGCGCTGGGGCCGGCGGAGCGGGAGCTGTTGCTGTAGTGTCGTGGAGTGCAGGTACGGCGTGGCTGTGACCCCACTGTCCCGGGGCCTCCGTGTGTGCCCAGGGGCTGCGGGGTGGGAGGTGCAAGCTTTGATGCTTTGCTTCCCGTTTGACCTCTCCTGGGGCTGCAGAGGGGGCTGGGAGCAAGCCAAGGGCTCTGGAAGCATCACCCTTTCCTGCCTGGGGCTCCCAAGTGGCTCATTGCTGCAGGATGTCTCCAGCAGGCTCTGTGACCTGGCAACCCTGCCCAGGGCACGTCCCAGGTGTCTGTGTCACATCTCAGGTGACCACGTGCAGCTGTACCTGCCTCTGTCTGGTGCTCTCTGTGTCACGCTGCTGTGTCTCCACGTTAGAAGAGCGAGGTTATTGCACCAAAATCGCCCTTCCCTCCCTCTGCCCTATGCAAAATCCTCAGCTGCACCTTCTCGGGTGAAGTTGAATCTGTTCGTATGAGGTGCTGGCTGAGCCTCCTGGCGTATAGGAGGGGTGGGGAGGGTCTGAGTTGTGCTCAGGGACAGGGTGCAGTGGGGAGGGGAGCTCAGACAGACACATGGATCATTGTCAGCTTGTTTGGTGTGTGGATTGAGGAGGTGATCACACTGGGGATGGGGAGCAGTGGGCTGACTGGAAATCCCCTGGGATCCTGCTGCCGCTGGAGTGCTCAGGTCCATTGTGTGTGGGGGGTGCACACCTCCTTGTTTTGCGTGTAAATGCAGTTACTGCAATTAAGAAAATTGCTCTGTGCCTAGTTGGCTTCTCCTTGGGTGTTACAAGCAGCCTGTAGGACACAACTATCACTTGGTGCTGCTCTGGGCTTTTCCCTCTCCGTGTGGGCTCAGCCTGAGCAGTGTGTGTCCCCAAACCCTCCTGCTGACCTACACAGGGTGCTTCTGGAGGGTTGTGGGTCTATGTAGAGACACACAGGGAGAAAAATAGCACCAAGGAATCCATTCACCTTCCTCCCTGGTTGTTAAGTGCCTCATACTCTGGAAAGGTTATTAAAGTATCTACAGAATAAAAAGAAGTTGGGGCCCCTCCTGCTGCTGTCCGTGCTGCTGCTGAGACAGTGGTATGTGCTGAGGCGTTGCTGTCTCCCCTCTTCCCTCGGCGCTGAAGGAGCGTCGCCTCTTCCCCGCTCACGCGTTTCTCCGGAAACGCAGAAACATTCGGGGCTGAGCCAGAAGCTTTGTTCTGCTCCTTTTTGCCTTTGTGGACAGAAACCCTGGTTTGAAACCCTGGTTTCTGTCCTGAGGTTTTTGCTGTGCTGGTGCCGAGCTGGTGTGAGGAAGGTGAGTTCTCTGAGTGCAGCCGAGCAGGGCGAGTCCCGGGGGTTTGGTGGTGTGCAGCCAAGCATGTGCCACATCTCTGGCCCGAGGGAGATGAGGAGATGTTCCCAGGGCTTCACAGCCTGTCAGTCCCCCATGCACAGGGTGCTACAGTCCTGGACCTTGGATTTTGGGGAGAGTTGGGTGGTTTCCTACATAATGAGAGATGTCATGGTGCTTTCTGAACTCTGACATGTGAGCTAAAGAGTGGCTTTGCTGGCATGTAGCTCATGTACCAAATTTTCCATGGGGATGTACTGGCTATGGATGTGAGCAGCCTTCTAGTGGAAGGTCTCAGGTGCATGGCGTGACTCTTGGGGATGGTCCTGAGCAGGGCCAGGGGTTAGACTCGATGATCCGTTTGGGTCCCTTCCAACTCCGCTGATTCTGTGATTCCACGTTCCTGCCTGTCAGGAAGGTGGAACGAGATGGGCTTTAAGGTCCCTTCCAACCTAAACCATCTGTGTCTGAGTTCTTCCCTCATGCAGGAATGTGGCTCACTGTGCACCGGCCGTGCCCTGTGTGGGGCTGGAGGAGGAGCTCCCCCCAGCCGACGTTTCTCCCCGTTCCGGGTGCTCTGGTGCAGCCAACCTCGAGCTGCAGCCCTATTTTGTCTCCTGGGCTGTGCAGGTGCTCCAGGGCAGTTCCTCCAGGCTGGATCCGAGTGTGTGGACAGTGTTCCTGGTGTCCCTGCCTCCCCCAGGGACAGGGCTTGAGTGCCCTTATGGATACCAAGCCCATTCCCTTGATTGCTCATGGTTGATTATGGAAGTAAAAAGAAGTGTTGACTGAAGCGTGGGATGCTTTGAAATCACTGTCACTTTTCACCCCAGCTATTTGAGCTTCTGCTTGGTTTTCCCCCCCCAAAATGTCTTAGATTGAGAAGCCCCAGGAAATCTTCACAGCTGTGATCCAAAAGCCAACACAAGGCAGCTGCTGCCATGGCTGACCCTGTCCTTGCTCTACATGGTGCTTTTTCCAGCTCTGTTGAGCAACTTTCTGCTTTTATTTCATTTCTTCACTCCAATGTGGGCAAATCAAGCATGGAAATAAGATGTTCAGCTCCCATATTTCCAAGTGCATAGATGCACCAGAGATCCTACACCCCAGGCTCAGCAGGGTGATGTCCAACAGCCCTGACTGCAGCCCTGCCCTGGTCTTGCTCGGGGCAGCCGGGCTCCCACTGCCCTTCCCAAAGCTCTGTGATCCCCTGGGACCACAGAGAACAGACGTAGGCCAGTGCTCAGTGGAGAGGATGCACTGACTGGAGTTATTAAATTCTAAATATAGTGGTGCCACGCATTCTCATAGGACCTAACAGGAATCAGCAGGTGTGCAGTTATGGTTTTAAATAATCCTGCATTTTCGAACGACGCCTCCGGATAAAGCAGCGCGAACGAGGTGGGGTGAGTAAGTCTGCTGGGCTGGACAGTTTGTGGATAGAGGAGGAGCCCAGCAAAAGCATCACCTCATCCAGGTGCTTTTGGGCAATCATGCTGCCTTCGATGTTCCCTCCTGCTCTGCCACCACCTGTGGCACAGAGCTGTGCTGGGATTTGTGTTCTCTCAGCTGGAGGCTTCTCCAGCCCGAGCCATGCCCGCTGTGCCTGGCAGGAGGGCAAATGCTCCACTCTGGAGCTGTGGCACAGCAGCCTGGTGTTGTTAAATCAACAGGACAGTTGGTCCCAGGGCTGGGAGGCCCCAGGGTGACAAGGTGTCCCCGTCCTGGGGCAGGGACTGGCAAGCCGAGCCGAGCCCAGGAGAGCAGGTGATTTATTTGCAGCAACTTTTCTCCATCCAGCAGGAGCGGTGATGGATGAACCAAAAAGTGCATCTGACGGTCTCCGGAGCTGCACTGCTCCATGTGGGATGAGGGCCTGGAGCATCGCAGGGATAGGGGATAAGGGGATTTCTCTGCAGGTGCCTGTGGGGGAACCACAGGGGGCTGAGGGGCCTGCTGAGGTTTGAGGGGTTGTTCTTTGTGTTACCTCAGTGTGCCAGCCTCGAGGTGCTCATGCCCAGCTGTGTGTTGGTAGGAAGGGCAGAGAGGATCTGCTCTGGCATGGAGGAGAAATGAAAGGAAAAGGCAGGTTATATGAAATAGCTCTTCTCTTATTAAGGTATTTATAAGCTGAAAGGTCTGGACAATTGATTTTGGGTTCCTGCAGCTTTTGAAAGTGGATCAGAACATCATGGAAAGCCGTTGTGTTGTAACTGAGCTGAGAAAATGGCTCTGCTCTGCTCTGGGTGTGCCAGGGAGGCTCCAGGGCAAGCTGAAATTCTCGGGAGTGGGCTGGCACCTTCCCAGGCTGCTGTTTTCAGCCAGGGAGCTGGGCTGGCAGAGCCCTGGGCTGGGATCCTGGGTGCCTGCAGTGATTCTGGGAGGATGAGGGTCTGCTGTCATCTGACAGAGCTCACGGATTTAGGAGAATTTCTCAAGGACGCCCTTGGAATTGGTCTCAACAGATCTCAACAGGATGCAGGGGGGGCAAGCAGAACTCCCTGAGAATGCCAGTCCTATCACCCAAGTGATGACCTGCAACAATAACCAATTAATTAAAAAAAATCCCAATTAAAAATCATTATAAAATTATAAGTCCTGTCCAGGGGTGGGTTTTGAAAGGCATTTTCTCCTCTAGGTGGGAACTCAGGGGCTGATTCAGTGGCTTCCTCTGTTGGCCCAGGACTGTTCTGGGATAGATCCACTCACCTGGCTTCAGGAGGTCGATGCCTGTTCCCTCTGAGACCTGCCAGAGGTCTCCCTCCCCTCCTCTGTGCTTCCCAGAGCCCCACAGAGGGGCTCTGATGTGCTCCCTTTGGGATCACTGCCTAGTTAGGGAAAAGGAGATCTTTGGGATGGAGGAAGATGAGGAAGAGACTTGTGCCTGGATTTGGATCCTGCATCCTTCTCCTGGGGGAGACCTTCAGCCTTGGAAGCAGCAGAGCTGATGAGCCCTGAAAACTTGGGGGGTAAAGATTCTGTGTCCTCAGTGGGCTCCAGGAGACGAGTTTTTCCCTGTCTTGGGGTGAGCTTGGTGAAACCCGGGGAAGCTCAGCTTGGGAAACAAGGATGAGAGGGGGTTGGCTCGTGGTGAGCAGGGAGCAGGCAGGCAAGGTGGAACCTTTAGGGTTCCACTGCCTTTTTTCTCAGCACCCGACTTGGAAGTTGGTGTTAATTAACAATGAATTAAATTATGTAAGAATTATATTACATAAAAATTTCAACTTGCCTGGCCTGATTTTGCCCATGTCATTTGATAATGTCCAGCAGAAGGAACAGTGCTCCAGGTGATGCTCCAGCTTTGCACTCACAGAGGGCAGAGGTGGGTCCGTGTGTCCCTGTTGCTGTCAGGGTTGGAGCCTCTCCCAAGGAGCTGCTCTTTATAGCGGGGAGCTGTTACCTGCCCTCCCCTGGGGATGTTTGCCACACTGATATCCTGATCCATGTTTCTTGCTGTGTAGTTTGATGGGCTTTGAGGTGGAGAGGGGTAGTGGGGGATGTTTTCCTGGCAGGATTGTGTTTAGTTGTTTTTGGGTGCTTAAAAATATCTCCTCAGCTCTGGCAGCGCGTCTGTGCTCAAGCACATGGTCGTGATGGGGGAGAGAGGAACCGGCAAGTTTTGGGGCTGGAAAAGTGCACGGAAGGAATAGTTCCTGTGTTAGCTGCACACAGCATGAGACAGGCAAAGG